ATACTAAAAAAAAAAAAAGCTGATAGAGTGGTTTCAACCCCGTTCTTTTCTTTATTGTGCTTATCTATCTCTTCAACCCCTATTTGTATAATCTTGGCTAGTTTTTTCCTATATCCAATAGTTTTCTGCTCTTTTCAATATATCTTATCTTAATTAATGGACTCTATTCGAAGTAAAGATGAATATTCTTCAATTGTTGGAGCCAAGTCTTCTTGGTTGAACATAATGCATCAATAAGATGGATCTCATAATTGTACTGCGACTCTAATAAGTTGTTCATCAATCTTTACCAACATAAGTAATGTCATATCTACATATTTCTTGAAAATAGATTTTTTTCTCTCTGTTCCTCATGTTTCCAAATGGTTTCTAATTCTGATATGTCATTTTAACTGAGATCAACATGCACTGATTGCAGTAGTATTGATATATGACCATTTACTAAATAGTTTTCTTCTTTCTCTTGAGTACTTTTTAATGAGCTCTTAACCTCTAAATAACTCTTATACATGGATGACATCCCTGTAGGTTTCTTGAGAGTTTTTTTTTTTAGGAAGATTGACCCAAGACAATACCCTTTTAGGAAATATGATACCTATATGATGGATGCAACAAAATTAAAGGTAACAAAAGAATTAACCAAGTCAATAATGTAAATAAAATAAACAAATAAACAAACAAGCATAGTATACAATAGAACATAATATACATAGTCTCCTAGTTTTAGGTAATTTTCTCGAGAAGAACGACATGGCTTTATCCTACGGTTTGGCTTTACAACTCACTATATGCCAGGTTAGGATTTATGCGTCTAAAGATTTTTAGACTATTTCTCACATCATCGTCTATTATAGACTAATAAGATTCCTCGGTCCTCAACCATTATGGGGCTACTAATAGAAAGGGTTTAATCTAAGTTGAAGTATTTTGCTAGCAATTACGAAGGTTATCACCTCATGAGAGTATAGCTACTTCACTTTCTCTTACAAAAGATGAAGCCTGGGTTTAGAACTCATGCATGTAAGTGTGTATGTTAAAGTACCAAAAGTGACGTATTAATCAAAATATCATAAACGCAAAATCAAAATAAAATAATAACTAACATACAATTTATCTTATTTATTAACGTGTATATATATATATATTTTTTAAAAAAATTGAAATAAAGGGGATTAAATTAAATGTCAAATAAAACTTATTAAATCCAATAATTCTTAATAACGCATAATTAAAATTTTTGGTCAGACTCTCAAATCTTCCTAGTGAAGTAGCCAAGCTATCGTAACGGTTTTGAGACCGTTAGACATAAAAAATTTTAAAATAGAGAAAAATGAGAGGAGTCACCACTAATCTTTTTTAAGGTGTGATTGATCACCAAAAAGTTTATCTGTTTAATAAAAATATAAAAGCAGGTTTAAAGTTTATAAAAAAGATAAATCTTGGTCTATGAAAATAAATTTTGAGTTCAGAGGTCGATTACGTGTGTGAAATGATTAGTACTTTTACAATGCCTATAAATTAGTACCAATTAATTTTGCACTATTTCCAATATTGGATGAAATGATTTTAATTTGAAATTTAATAATAATCCACTTCATTTAAAAAAATAAAATTTTACTAAAACTCTTTATTTAGGAATATTGAGGAAATTTTTAAGATAAAGAATTATCTTAAAATTTTCTAACATCTAGACAAAATTTAAAAATAACTTTTTTCATTTAAGATTTAATACAATATTTCTTCAAATGAAATAACACTTTTTATAAATGATAATTGTTAGTGACTCTCCATCATCTAGGTAGAGTACCAAGAATTATTTCCTTCGAAATGTTATTTTTGTTTTATTTTATAATGTCACATTTTTAAAAAAATGTATTGCCCTTTTTTATAAAACATTTTATCATCAAGTAGTAAACTAAAGACAAAGAATGCAAATGATTGCCAACAAAACATGATAACGTATGTATACTAATAAATGTTATGTAAAGCGATAAAATCCAATTTTAAAGTTGGGTTCTTAAGTACAACGAGACCACACTAATTCTCTAACATCTAGACAAATGTGAATTATCATTTTTTATTTATTAATCCCATTATTAATGTGAATTAAGGATTCGTATGAAAAACTTAATGAAATAAAAATTTCTAAATACCCTATCATCTAGGTGGCATTCGAGAAAAAATCATTTCATATAAAATTTTCACACTTATCCTTAGAGTTTTGAAATAATTTTGGGCATAAATTTAAGTTGAGGTTTTAAAATTTGGTGATTTTTTGATGATTTGGGATTGTGTACCAAATTTGGGGTTTTAAGTTTTGAATTTTAAAATTTAGGGTTTTAGGTTTTGGATTTTAGGGTTTAAGATTTTTAGGTTTTGAAGGGTTTGAAGATTTTGATTCTAGGGTTTAAAAGTGTTTAGGGTTTAGATTTTAGGGTTTAGGGTTTAAGGCTTTGATTTTAGGTTTTAAAGGGTTTAGGGTTTTAGTTTTAGGTTTGAAGGGTTTGAAGAGTTTAGGGTTTCGATTTTAAGGTTAAAGAGTTTAGGGTTTTGATTTTAAGGTTTCAAGGGTTTGGGAATTTGATTTTGGGGTTTAAAGGGTCTAAGGTTTTAATTTTAGGGTTAAAGGGTTTATGGTTTAGTTTTAGGATTTAGGGGTTTTAGGGTTTTGATTTTAGAATTTAATGTTTAGGGTTTTGTTTTAAAGTTTGAACAGTTTTAGGGTTTAAATTTTTTTTAAAAAAATGAACATTTATAAAAATTTTCAATATCTAGGTAGACTTTCGAAACAAGTTCAATTTTATAAATTTTGAAAATTAGTTAAAAAAATCGTATATATTTTCTTTTTATAATAACTTATTATTAATGAAACTACTAATTTATTTAGCATTGTTATTTTTTTTAATTTTTTTATATAATAATAATTCTTCAACATCTAGGCGAAATTATTATTATTTAAAACACAATTAAATTCCTTCCAACTTCTAGGCAGGGAGAATTTTCTTATTACGAATTTATTTTATAATCATTTTTGATATTATTATTATTATTATCGTTTAATATTTGGGTTATTATTCTTAAGAAAAAGAAAGTTTTGAAATCATTTTTTATTATTTTGTCATTGTAATTTAATATTAATAATAATTATTATTGTAAAATAACAAATATTTGTTCTAATAAATTCTAAAAGTTTTAAAACATGCATAAATAATAATAATAATAATAATAATAATAATAATAATAATAATAATAATAATAATAATAATAATAAAGTTTAAAATGATATAAATAATATAAAAAAATAAAAAATTTACCTAAACCGGATTAGTCAACTGTTCAATCAACGTTGGTTCGATTGGACAAAAAAAAGGGTCAGTTCGATGAGTGGTTTGGTTGAATCGGAAGAGTGGCAGTTTGGTGCACAATTCAATTGAATTAGTTTAGGGCCAGTTGAAGGACGGGTCATCTGGTTAAGTCGCGCAGATCCCAAGTCAAGTTTAGGTCCACACGTGGATCCTCTTTGGCTTAAAACAACATTGTTTTACTTTGTAGTCTTCTATATAAAAGTCTTTTTTTTTAGCTCATTTTCTTTTTCCTTTTAAAAAAAAAACTTTTTTTTGCTCTCAACTTTTGCCAACCAAAAACCAAAAAAACAATTGTGTGCCGTAAATCGTCGTTCACCGTCGATGGTCGTCGATGATCGAAAAATATCGACAGACCTCCAAAAATTTCTTCTCAACGTCTTTTTTCTAAACTCGATCTCTTTTTTGTGAGAAACAGCCCTAATCGATGTAGACCAGAGTTTGAAGTTTTTGAGAATTTTTTTTTTAGGAAAACTTAAATTGATGATCTCTTTTTTTTTTTTTTTTGTAGTAGGGCTTTGGCATTGAGGTTCCTCCCTACATGGAGGACTATTTATTTTTTTTCTTTTTCGATTAGTGCTGAGGTCTTTGGGTGCGTCATTTGGGGCTAGGCTAAGGTTAAAGTACCTGGTGAAGTGCATGGAGGCTTGGGTTTCTAGGCATGCAGGGACTAGATTGTTTGGGTGTGAGAGCGTTAGGTTTCTAAACGAGGGAAACTTGGGGTTTCTAGGTATCTGAGAGCAAGGTATCTATGTATGTGTCTGTGTTTTTTTTTTTTGTGTCCAAAAGAGCTAAAAAGAGAGGAAGATGGGTGTTTTATAGGGTTGGGACTGTGTTCGAGATAATGGGTGATCTAAGGGTGTAAAAGGTGGTTGTAAGAGTGATTGGAAGTATGGCTAGGGTAGGCTACAAGGGGTGGCTGGTCTGGGGGCTGGTCGAGGGTGCATGGTAATGGTCAGGAGGCTGGCTGGACAAGCTGGTGGCAGGGTGGTTGGACAGGGGCCGACAGTGGTGCCGTGCACGACACCCACTGACACCAACCCCCTTATTTTTTTTGTATTTTTTTGTTTTATTATTATTTTTGTTTGTTTTTTGTTGTATTTTTTTGTTTAATTAATAAATTAATATATGAAGAATTAATATAAAAATAAAAATGAAACAAAAATAATGGACTTGGGCCCAAAAGAGAAATTGGACTTTGGCCTGTGAGTTTCGTAAAACCCATAGACTTAAATCGAGATTCAGACAAATTTAATGTCTACAATAAAAATAAATGGTATAAAAAAATTCAAAATTACAATCTAACATTTTTTTTTTTTGACATTTTATACAATCAATCTCAGAGTTATGAGAGATAAGATTTAATTTGTTACTATTATATAAAATTTAAAAACTCCAACTTATAATTTTTTTATAAAATTATAAATACAAGTTATAATCATAATCAAATATTAAATCTATGTAAAAATTCAGTGAGTAATTAAATAAATAAATTAATTAATAAATTATAATATAATTAAGAAATTTAACATAAAATTAAACCAAACATGCAGTGAAACTTAATCTAACTGGCTAGAACCTAAAAAATATAATGCCTTCTCCTTGCCACTCATTGGCCAAACCCCAACCTATAATTAAGATAACTTAAAGATGAAATTTTCCTCCTCAAAGTATTGAAAATCTACTTTGTTTTACATTTTATCTTTCAAGCGGCAGAAAGATAAAAAGAAATTGCTCTTTCTCTCTCGACCGAGCTGAAAAATGGCTAATGGGATAGAAAACGAGGAGGTAGTTATAGTAAAGCCTCAAACAGACAAGAGAAAATACAGGAGGATCGTCCTAGGAAACTCCCTCCAAGTTCTCCTGGTCAGCGATCCCGACACCGACAAGGCAAGCCAATCCCATGCCACGGCCCTTTCTTACTTCTTTTCTGTTCTATCAAAATTTTATTAATCTATCCCCTGTATTCTGATTTTCACTTTTCATGTTTCAGTCTGCTGCATGTATGCTTGTTAGCGTCGGCAACTTCTCCGATCCTGATGGCCTCGAGGGCCTTGCCTATTTTCTTAGTACGTCTATATCTATATCCTTCATTTTTCTTCTAAAAAGAATTGAGTTTGTGTAGATTTTTTTTTATCCGTGATTTTCTAGTTCTATAACAGGAGTTAGTCATCTTCTACCCTATAAATTTTACTCTCCTCTCTCAAGATTCAAATAGAATTTTCAATTGGAATTTCAAATTTTAACAATTAGGTGCCTTCTTATGCTGAAATAATTAAGAAGCGCAAAATTTAGAATATTGTATTTCGTTTAAAAATTTAAGAAAATTATTATAAAATATTACAAGTGAATTGCAGCAATATTGATCACTCAAGTTTATAGAAAATTTTGTTTTGATCACTCACATATTACGAGTTACAATTCTTTTTAATCTTTGTCGTTTATCACGCACGTGTTACGTTTCTACTGCTAAAGGGAAGGGCGCGTTGTGAGTTGTGATCCTTCTACTGATCTCTTGAATAGACTAGTCTTTGGGTTTGGGGTCCAGTTCAGTAATAAAAGATATCTGATAAGAGGTGAGCATAAATCTAGGCGAATCGAAATAGGATGGATAAATTCGATTTCGGATTTCATTTGATTTATTCGGTTTTTGTTCAAGTTTTTTATTTTTAAAATTGATATGTAAATGAATTGAATAGGAATAAATTTTATTATATTTGTGATCTATTGATTTAATTAATGAATTATAAAATATTTTTTATAATTATTTATTAAAATATAAATGAATATAAACTGAACATGTTCACATGTTCACTAATTATTTATCAAATGTTTTGTTAGTTTTGGATTGAATATAAATAAATTTTATTGTATTTGTGATTAGTTCATGTTAATGAACTAGGAAATATCTTTCGTAATTATATATTAAATTTAATAAATGAATATAAATTGATCATGCTCACATGTTCATGAATTATTTATTGAATGCTTTGTTATTTACATTTAAACAAATTGAATATGAACAGAATTTGTTATTTTTTTTTATCTATTTGTTTAATTAACTAATTATGAAATATTGTTCGTGATCCTATGTTAAACTTAAAAACAAATAGAAATAGAATCTGATCTGTTCTTCATTTTATTCGTTTATATTTTTAAATCGAATTGATTGAATTAACCTATATTAATTATAATACTTCTTATATTTAAAATATATTCTTCATATAAAATATATAATAAATATATATTTTTTATTTATAATTTTAAAGCAAATGGCAAATATGTACATACCCATTGAAATCTCTAATTAATGCAACGCTAAACCTAAAAAATATATTTTATGCACCAAATATGATTTAATATTTTTAAATAGAGACAACAACACAAGATCAAACCTAAGTTTTGCAAAACATGACTTAATTATAAATTTATCTGTAGATAATAAATATAGTAAACCTAACATATTTAGGTATTATTTAGGATTATGCTATATTTTCATAGTCAATTTTGATTTGATTTTCAGATTTGTTTTGGTATGAGAGGGAGTATTATGACTTCATTTGAGCAATTGAATAATTTTCTTTTCTATTGAATTTGTTTCTTTCTGTCTTGTTGTATTATAGTGTACGTGCTGCCTTATGCTAGTGAAAAACATCCTTCGGAGGATAGTTTCTCCAAGTACGTTAGTGAGGTATTATTCGTCTTAAATGTAGTATGTTCCTGTAGATGTTATTGTAGTCAAATTAGAATGTTGTTGAGATACTTGCCGTCTTAGATTTTACGCTATACAAGTCAATGATCGTTGGTTATCTTAATAAAAATAACAATAAAAATACAGACTTAGTAAATAATTTTCATTTGGTTATGTTCTTGCTTTCTATCATAAAGTTAAAAAAGAAGAAGTTTTAAACTTACTAAAGGTTTAAATTGTTGGGCTAAAAGCCTCCAATCTAATCACACACAGCAGAAGTAAAATCAAACAATAAATCAAACACACAAGAGACAACGATTTAACGTGGTTCGGTACAACTGACCTACATCCACGGATGAGAAACAAGATCCACTAGTTGTAGAGAATTACAAACATACATCAAATCATCAACCTCACTCAACAATCAATACTCATAAGACACTCTCAATTTCTTCTAGTCCTATAAAGTATTTTCAACCAAAACAAACACAAACCCAAACCCTTGTGCACTCTTTCAACATAACCAAACACATACCCATATGCTCTCATACATCATACCTATGTGGACCCTCTCAGTCTCCTCTAGTCCACTCACAAACAAACATACACACCCATAAGACGTAGAGCCCCAATACTCCTATGGGGTATCTATCCCACAAAACCCTACAACTCTCTTATATCTTTTTCTCATACCTAACCCTGTAGAGACTTCACCTATTTATAACCATACAAACTTGCCCATTAAGAATCCCTCTCTTCTTAGAATTCTTCTATTGCAAGTCAAACTTACCAATTAAGAATTCTCTTTCTCTTTCTCTTGGAATTCTTCTTTTGCAAGTCTTCTTGTCCATCAAGCAATATCTGATAAATCCCAAACAAATCTCTAACAAATCTCTTATGGGATTTGAGTCAATATTCCCAACAATCTCCACCTTGACTCAAATTCCATCAATCATCTGTCTTCATGCTAGACATGCTTGGCTCCACCTGCAATGAAAGTCTCACAATCATCTTCTCTTCTCTTGTGTCTTCACGCTTTATACAAACCAATCCTCAATCTTCAAAACTCGAACTCGAACTTTTCTTTTTTTCATATCTCAAACTGTCAACTATTCCCATGTCTCGAACTATCGGCTCTTTCCACATCTTGAATCTTCAACTCTTCTCACGTTTCGAACCTTCAGCTCTAATACCACTTGTTGGGGAACACCACAACTCTGATACCATTTGTTGGGCTAAAAGCCTCCAATCTAATCACACACAGCAGAAGTAAAATCAAACAATAAATCAAACACACAAGAGACAACGATTTAACGTGGTTCGGTACAACTGACCTACATCCACGGATGAGAAACAAGATCCACTAGTTGTAGAGAATTACAAACATACATCAAATCATCAACCTCACTCAACAATCAATACTCATAAGACACTCTCAATTTCTTCTAGTCCTATAAAGTATTTTCAACCAAAACAAACACAAACCCAAACCCTTGTGCACTCTTTCAACATAACCAAACATATACCCATATGCTCCCATACATCATACCTATGTGGATCCTCTCAGTCTCCTCTAGTCCACTCACAAATAAACATACACACCCATAAGACGTAGAGCCCTAATACTTCTATGGGGTGTCTATCCCAAAAAATCCTACAACTCTCTTATATCTTTTTCTCATACCTAACCCTGTAGAGACTTCACCTATTTATAACCATACAAACTTGTCCATTAAAAATCTCTCTTCTCTTAAAATTCTTCTCTTGCAAGTCAAACTTACCAATTAAGAATTCTCTTTCTCTTGAAATTCTTCTTTTGCAAGTCTTCTTGTCCATCAAGCAATATCTGATAAATCCCAAACAAATCCCTAACAAATCTCTTATAGGATTTGAGTCAATATTCCCAACATAAACAAATAGAAAATAAAATGAAAATCTAAGAACATTAATATTTAATTATTTTATGTTAATGGTCCAAAATTCCGACTCGTACAATAAAATTGAAATAGATTAATTTAAAATACTCTTGGTAGATTTAAACTTAGTGTATTTTTTCTGCTATTTAGCATGGAGGGCACCGAAATGGCTCTATGGGTTGTGATTGGACCAGCTATTATTTTGACATCAACAATGACAGTTTTGAAGAAGCTTTGGAACGGTATGTGTTGTATTTTTTTTTTTTTTCAGTTTTCATAGATGTTATTTTCATTAAATGTTTATTTATTATACTATTGAGCTTTTTCTTTTTGGTACAATATTATTCAGGTTTTCCCAGTTCTTAATCAAACCATTAATGATATCTGAAGCTACCGTGAGGGAAATTAAAACTATCGAGTCTGGTGAGCTCGTTTGCTCTTCGTTTTTGGTTTAATTCAATGCTTTCTAGCTAGTATTTTTGGACCATAACTCATCTCTCTCTCTCTCTCTCCCCAGTATACCAACTTGGCTTGTTGTCTGACCCGCGTAGATTGAAACAGGTATTAGTTTTACTTTGTTCTTGAATCGTTTGTTGCCACCAATTAATGAATTAATGCCGAATGTCAATATACTAATTCAAAATTAGTGTTACACAGAATTTTTTTGTTGGTTTATTGCGTTTTAGATTCCATGTCTAGATTTGTTAAAGTTGGTGATAAGATAAATCTTATATTGGTTAAATTTGTAATGTTTTGCAATTTTAAATATAATAAAAATCTCTCTTTAATAGCAACTGATCATAAGTCGAATATCAAAAAATTCAATTGGGTTTAAGAGTAAGTTTTTATACGTAAATAAAGTTTACTCCATTTTGATTAAATTATTTTAGTAGTAAATAATATATTTTAATTTAATTTTAAAATATGTTTTAAAATATTAAATAATATTTTATTATTTTTAATAATAAAATGATAACAAAAATGGATTGATCAAGTCGCACTGGAACTTGACTTCTCAAAGGAAGACCAAGTAGGCTTGATTTAACCAATGGGCACCTTTAGTGTATAATTTTTTTACATAATTTATCCAATAAATTATATCAATATATCAGTTTTAATTCTCAATTTGATTTAGTTTTCATATAACCGGTTTTCTTTAAAAACATTACTTGTATTTACTTTATTTATGAAAACTATAATAAAATGATTGAATTATTTCATTAAAAAGAACACAACATATTAAAAGTTTATGATTGTTATGTGAACATGTATCTTTTTAATTTTTAAGACAAAAAGAGATGCTGAACCAAATAAATTAAAAATTTACTTATTAGAGAGGCAAACTAAATTTATCTCTAAAATTTAAAATTTGACACTTAAACTATCATAAACATTATTCATGTATATTATTTTTGTTAGTATTGGGTAAACACTTTTAATGTGAGAATAGGTATCTATGTCTTAAGTCGGGTAGGTTTATCTGTACAGTAAACACTTTTAATGTGAGAATAGGTATCTATGTCTTAAGTCGGGTAGGTTTATCTGTACACTAGTTAAGAGAAATAAGTTTTTGGATTTGGGAGAAATTAAACTTTTAGAGATAAATCATGAAAGATGTAGATGTAAATAATAAGAAATTATATAAAATTAAAAAAATAGATAAAAATGTTGTTTTTTTTATAAAAATGAGTGGTGCAAAAAATTTGAAATTATGACCTAATATTATTCTTTTTCACCTTTTCAGCAATCCTAGAATCATAAGATATAAAACTTAATTTATTATTATTGTTGTATGCATTGGGTCGAGTCATTTGCTCCTCTAAATGTTAAGATTGTGCTCAGGTTTGGTCCACCCGAGCCCACCCATTTAGGCCCAGTACTATTTAAAAATATTAAAATAATAAAACATATGTTTATATTACTATTTTAGTATTTTTTAAATATATTTTAAAATTAAAATTAAATAAAAATAATTTTTATTAATTGAATAATGACTTAGACCTAACTAGATATGGGCTTGAAAATTTTTATCAAGACTGAACCGTGTCGGGCTCGTGAGCTAACGGGCCGCTAGACCTATATGGGCAAGTCCAGTGCGAATCGTGTGATCTACTTCTTCCCAGTACCTTGTTCTCTTTTATGCAATTTCTCCACTTCTAATGCATCCAAAATAGAGTACCAATGAAGTACAAAAGCTAATAAAGTGATTTAGCTGCAAATTTTGCTTCATAGTATCGTGCAATAAATTAAAATGAAGTTCTAACACCATAACAAAACACTCAAAAAAGGAAAAGAAACTTTTCACAATATTAAGAAATAGAAGAATTCGTAAGTGAACGTGGAACTTAACAAGGAAAGTTATTCAATTTAGGTAGAATGTTTGAGTCTTGAGATTTATGTGATCAAAGATTAGGTTTTAAAGAGAAAATTGTTGTTTTCGGTGGGTGTAAGAACCAAATTAAGGAACAGAAATAGTTTTAAAGCATATATTGCAAATGCCACTTTCTTCTATACAATATTTAGATTGAAGGAGGGGAAGGAAAGGAAAAGAAATTGGGAAAAATGGGAAACCTTTCCCTTATTTGGATATTATTTAAATCAAAATAAAGGGGGAAATTGAGTACCCTTCATTTTTCCCCCAAATTCTTCAAATTTCAATTATCCCAAATTGGATGAAAAATAAGGAAAAGAAAGGGGTGAAATTTTTTTAAATGTACCTTTATTTTTTTATTAATTTTAACTAGTTAAACAAAAAGTATATGTATCTTTTCCTCTAAAGAACTTTGCTTTCTTTTTTTTCTTTACTAATGACTTTCCAAACATAGTGTTAGACTCATTTTTCTCTATTAAGGAGGCCGAGGCCTTAGAAAAATTGGAAAAAATGAATTTGAAGTGTTGGGGATTAAATCTTGATAGGCTTATTTTGCCCCATCAATAACGGTATATAAAGTGGTAAATCGAATAGTACTATAAGATATAATAAAATCTATGTTTGACAGTAATTTGCATTAATAAAATCAAAACCACTAAACACTTTGCTGTTGAGAAACAAAAATATCTTTCTTATATGAGGTTTTTTGTAATAAAAAATTGTATAAGTGACTTAAACTATTTAAAATAAAAAAAAAAAAGAAAAGAAAAGAGAGGATTGTATTGGAGCTAGTTTGATGTGTTTTGCAATGATCTCCATCTTACATATTGATAGAGATCTTTCTCAAGAGATATATCTCTTCAAAGTGGTGGTAATTAACCGAACACTTTGCTTTTTTTTTTTGAACTTATTGAGGACACATCTTTTAAACCTCCATAGATGCCATAAGATGTCCTTTTAAAAAGGTTTAAACGCTTTTAAAGCAGAACTAGTGGTTGTATGCTTTGAAGTGGAAATTTCTCCTTTCTTTTATTCTATTTTTAAAATATTCCAACACAAAAGTAAGAAACTCATGTCATTGCATTATCTGTGAATTGAAACTTCTTTCGCTTTATTTAAAAAAATATTCCAACACAAGGGTGAGAAACCCATGTCATTATATTATCTGTGAAACTTCTTTCACTTTATTTGAAAAATATTTCAACACAAAAGTGAGAAACCCTTGTCATTGCATTATCTATGAAACTATATTAGTGAATCATATATCATATCATATATAATATTATATTACAGCATACATGCTTACCTAATAAATTTTGTTTACATGAAATTTTATGTGGACAATCTATATTATTGACACATATAATAGTTTTTTAATTGTAGTTAATTACTAAATAACCTCATTATTTAAATTTAAAAGATATTTCAAATCTTAAAAAATAATTTTTATCCAATTTTTTTATGTTAAATAATTTATAATCTTTATCTTCATTTAAATGAGATAAGATTATTGGGATCATTCCAATGAAAAAACTAAAAATAAAATCTCATTTAAAATTAATTTGAGTATTTTTTATATAAAACATGTATATATTATTTATCTTGCATTTAAATAAATAAGCAAATTGTAAAACAATTTTGAAATTTTGAACTTCATTTATTTATTTATTATTATATGTTATGTAAATTAAGTATGGATATATGTAGGTATTGCGTTTTTATTATTATATCTGTAATATATGTTTTCAATATTTTTTTTATTTTAAATTAATTGATTTTGTATAATAGTCAGTAAAATTAAATGCATGCATGAAAGATGTGTATTGTTATAATTTCATCATGTAAATTAAATATATAACCAACTTTCACTTAATTATTTTTTAGTGTATAAATTAAGTGTTACAAAAAAAGACTTTCTTTAGTAAGTTAAATAAGATCATAGGTCAATAATAACATATAATAGTTATAGTTATTTTTTATTTGCATTACAATAATAATCTTTTAATGTTTTCATATGTCATATGATATATAAAATTCTTTCAAAAAATAGTTAAGACTAAAATAGATGAAAAAATATTTTTTACATAGATGGTGAATTTAAACTTTGGTGTGCGGTTGGATTCATATTACATAGGTAAGAAGATAATAATATATGACAAAACATTCATTAACCAAGTAATTAATTTTTAATTAAAATATTGATAAATTTAAAACCAAATTAAGCTATTGATGTTTTTAACTATAAATATACAAAAATAAATAATTGAAACAAAAATATTCTCCCTAAATTTAAAATCACATATATCTCTTCTTTTTTAAAAAAAAAATTTCAAATACTTTATTATTATTATTTTTTAATTCAAAAAACACATATCACTTTAAGTCTATTAATAATTAATAATATGTGCTACATCATTTTTTTAGTATTCAATTTTCCTTTAAGATTTATATTGTTTTCGTAATTTTATTGTTTATTTTATTTAGATGATTTCTTCTTTTGACATTATTTTTATTCATTTTTTTTGTTTGTCACACATTTCTTGAATGATTTTTTTTAGTATTTTGATCAAAATCATAATTTAGTAAAAGTATTCAAAACACTTCTTTTATTATTTAATTGATCATTCAATATTTATGTTGTCCTAAAAGACCAATATTATATTTATATTCAATTCTTTTTACTTTTTTTATTCATTTCCAATATCTCTTATTTTTCACATTTATTTTCAATGTTTTGATCAAGATAATAATAGTAAAGTTTAATTGTCTTATGATATGTTAATTGAATATATATTTATATTTTATATTTAACATAAAATTTTAAATTTAGATATAATTGTAAGAAAAATATAAATTTTACAGTGTAAACACATATTTAAATAAATAAAATAATCCATGCATTGCATGGGTCACAAACTAATTGAAATATATTTTGACATTTGGAGTGATGGGGAAAATGGGTTTAGATAAGGAATTGAGACATATTGAAAGAGGAAAACAAAAGAAAAAGGATAAAAAAAAAAAAATACACGGTTAGTGTTGGACTTTGTTGGATAATGACTAATAACTAGGCATGAGTGTAGGAGATTGATGAAAAAAAAAATGATTTCAAGGAATAAGGTAAAAATGGCACCAGTTGAACAAAATGAAAAATGAGTTAACGGTGTTAGTATTAAACTAATTGAAAAAAATTCACAAAGCAATTATGTATTAAATTTAAACTATTTGAAGTAAATGTCTGCTCAAACCATAGAATATTTTTTGTAATTTATCATATAATAAAACCCATAACTCATATTTTTCCTTGAATTGCTTTTCAACTTAAAGGTGGACATTTAAAATAGAGGGTGATGCCAATATAAAGAGTGACTTGGACCAAAAAGGACTCTAATCAACCCAAATTGGAATGAATCACATTCAAAGCATTGTTATCCATTCATATGTCATTTAAATAATTAAAAAAAAAACCTTTTTTGACTTATCAAAAGATCACTTATTTTAATTATCCAAAAAAAAAGAAGAAAAGATTACCTCTAATTTAAAGGCAAATTTTACGGTTTTTTACTTCCAAAAGCAATGGTCATAATAAAATGGAGTTGAATCTGAAGGTTTTTTTAATATGCAACGATGAGGTTTTTTAATTTCACAATTTATTTTTGATATTGTCACATATCCATTACTGTTTATATAAATTTATTCATAATTTTTTTTAACTTCTTTTTATCTAAGCAGCTTCAGAAACATTTCAGCATAGAAAGTCATCCTTATCATAAATTTAGTACAGGTAAAATCTGTGCAACTCTATCTTTCCGAATTTCCCTCATCTCCATTGGCCCTATCTTCGATTTTCTCTTATATATATTATTTATTTTTTATTTATTTTATTTTTGAATTCAAACTTAAAATAATTTTTTTAATTTTAACCATTTTGATCTAATAATTTAAAAAATATAATCCCTCCTTTTATATATATATATATATATATATATAATGTATGTGCACACATTATATATCATAATTTATATTAACTTGTAAAATATTGTTTATTTCAATCCATTAAATCTAGCAGCTTTCTCTCACAAATAAATCTTACAAATTAAAATTTGCGTGAACATTTCTATTATAAAAGCAACTTTAGTGGGCAGCTGATGTGAACACTAACACTTAACTTGCTATTTGCTAATATGTAGGGAATTGGTATACGTTGGAAGTTAGACCAAAAGCAAAAGGACTGGATATAAGACATGAGCTCCTAAAGTTCTATGACGAAAATTATTCTGCCAACCTCATGCATTTGGTTGTATACACAAAAGGTTAGTAGCATTTCATTTGGTTGTTACATTTGCTATATACATACTTACTTTGGTTGATTATTTTTGTTATTTGGTTTTCTGCTTTTAGAATAACAAAAATAAAGTAATATCATAATAATTGATTTGAAATGACAAATAATTATAATATAACAGCAAATTCAATATTATTTGTCTTTAGAAGTAGTAACATACATTTTGTCATCTAAGAAAATTATATAATTTGTGAATAATTTTTTAAATAAAATTATTTACTTTTGTATTCAAACATGTTTTTAAGTGTTTCGATAAAAAAAATGAAAAAAGTAAATAGTAAAGCAGCAATTTCTTTCTTGCATTTTGAAATAGTTGTATGGTAAAATTAAAATTATAGAAAAAGAAAAAATATACTTGATTAAAAATGAGCATTCAGTAAAAATAAATATTGTTTCATATATAACTGCTTCTTTTTTAGTATATGTGACATTAGGCTACTATAAGAAGCAGATTTTCACATCTCATCATCTCATCCCGACCATTTTAAATATTCAAACTCAAGACCTTTTATATGGGATCTCAAACTTTACCTATTGAGCTGTCCCGTACAACCAAATTTAAAAATATCATATAGAAGTAAAGCCATGCATTTTATTACATTGCTTTTTCTTTTTTCTCTAAAATTCATTTTAATATCCATAAAAAGTTAAATCTTTATTGTTTTATCTCCTCAAAAACACTATAATTTTCACATCCAAATGTATCTTCTTTTTTTTGAAAGTAAAAAGAAGTAAGAAAAAATCAGCAACTAAAGTCTAAATTGCTTTTAATTGCCATATAGAGTTTTATTTTGCTATTCTCTTACCACAATACTCATAAAGACTTACAAATTTTTTTTCTCAAAAAGAAAGACTTATGGTTTAAATGGTTGATTGCTTAAATTTTCAATAAGATTAATTCTTTGTTATGAATTTGTAGAAAGCCTTGATAAAATCCAAAGCTCCGTGGAGAACAAGTTCCAAGACATTCGAAACTCCAACCAACGTGGTTTCCGCATTACCGGTCTGCCTTTCACGTCAGAACATCTAATGGTATAATGAAAATCAGCATGTTGCACCATCAATAATTACTATAAACATAATCGATCCTAACCAATGTCAAAAAATATTTAGCAGTCTTTTATTTTTAAAATTTTTTTCTTTTAAATTTAACAAAATAACAGGTAAATTCTTACATGCTCTATTAACCTTTTTATTCTAGTTTTATTTCAGTTTTTAATTTTCGAATTGTTTTATTTGAATTCTTGACATTTTAAAATATTCCATTATGATTTTTTTTCATTATATTATTGTGTTAATAGTTGAGAAAAAAATATTCACATAAAATGCCAAGAGATCAATGTTGTGATGTGCATTGTGTATATGATAAATTATTCCTTTTGGATCCATAACTTTTCAACATTTCATTTTGATTCTTTTTTAAAATTATTTTCATTTTGATTCTTTTTTAAAATTATTTAGTTAAAATGATCAATGTGGATGGATATGACATCAGTTTTAACGGAATAGCTTCACAAAAGGATCAAAATGAAATCATTTTGAAAAATTGGGAATCCAAACGGAATAAATTAAAAATTGGGAATTAAAGTGAAACTGAATAAAAGATTAGAAACTAAAATGAAAATAAAATAAAAAGCTGAGAACCATAAACGAAATTTACACAGAAAATAACCTACATTAGTTAAATTCTAGAAATTTTCTTAAATGAAAGTACCTTAATCATGTTTTGGTTGAAAAGTTAAAGCTGGAAGAGTAATTTCATGTTGCTGTTCGCTTTTAATTTGATTTCAGATTCTTGTCAAGCTTGTTCCAATAAAAGAAGGGCACAAATTGAGAATTGAATGGCCAATAACCCCAAGCAGGCATCATTACAAGGAAGCGCCATGCAAGTATCTGGGTCATGTCATTCGCCATAAAGGAGAAGGATCCGTGTATCACATCTTGAAAACATTAGGTAAGTTTGCTACGTCTTTTAAAAAAAAAAAGTATGCTTAAGTATATTTAACATTTTTGAACATATGCCTTTGCTAAGACTCGAGATAAGTCATGTTAGAATCCTATCAAATGTTTTCTTTCTAAACATATAATTTTGTTTTAGGTATTGTTTGATCGGAAGAGGTATCAGTTGTTTCAGTAAATTCTATTGGATTTTTTTATTTAGTATAAATACATTAATAAATATACATGAATTTGTACATAATAATATTATTAATAATCTATAAAAAAAAATACAATATATTCATAAATCATAGTTTTTTAAACGTTTAATCTGATTATTGTCATAACATATAGATCTGTAAATTTATAGCTAGACTTACCAAATGGAGTTGCCGTTAATCTTTTTTACCTAGGTGTGATTGGCCACCTAAAGAATCTATCATCTTAAGGAGCTCCTAAGTTTGACTAAGGGTCCATAAAAAAGTAGGTTCGGGTCTACAAACTATAATAAAGTCCGAGAGTTCGGTTACATGTGGAGAAGGTTATAGCAGCCCCCACATGCTCATCCGAAAGATAGTACCATATTATTTTAAATTCATCATAAGGTATTGATTCTAATGGTTTTAAATTTATTATATTGAAATATTGAAAATAATTCTTAAGATTTTTCATCAATCTGATAGAATTTTTAAAAATATTTCCTCATATCAAGAATATTCAAGAATCCTATTTGTTTTCTTGAAGAGGCTCCATCGTCGAAAAAAAGTTTATTTATTATTCTTTTTGTCAAAAATATATTTAATTATTTCACAATTTGGGCTAAATAAGAAATATTTTTTCTTTTTGAATTTTTAAAATTTTCACCATTTAGGCCTATTTAAAAATTCTTTCTTTTTTTATTTTTTTTAATTTCTAAAATTTTCACCTTTTAGGTCATTTTAGAAATATTTTTCTTTTTTAGGAATTTCTAAATTTTTCACCATTTGGGCCAATTTAGAAATTCTCTTTTTTTTTTTGTTTTTGGAAAGAAAATAGTATGACAATTATTTTTTATTGAAATTTTATTTAAATTCTTCCACCATTTGAGACAAATTTAAAGAAATTTCTCACCTAGAGATTTTTTAAAAAATTTATCATTTGAAATTTCTAATAATCTCATCATTGGATAATTATCAAATATTTTCAACCAAAAAATTTTATTTTTTCCTTTATTTTGGGTTTTTTTATTGAGAATAAACATTAATTATTGTTGTTAAAACTCTATCTAAATTATTTCACCATTTGAGACAAATTTAAACAAAAATTTCTCACTTAAGAATTTTATAAAAATTTACCATTTAAAATTTTTATAAATTCCATCAGTGGATAATTATCATTTATTCTAAAATTTTTTTTTCTTTTTTTAAAATTTATTCATGTAAAAATATAATAAATAAAATAAATAAAAAAATACCAAATAGGGAAACGACTCAACTCGACGGCTTTGGTGGCTCGATTTCAGGTACAAAAAACGGCTTGGGGACGCAACTTGATGGCTCAGCTTCGCTTGAGGGATCGACTAATATACAGGTCAAACGCGGATCAAAAGCAGGTTAGCACTACGGATTGAGTCACTCGAATGAAAAACATACGGATCCTGGGTCTTCTTAAACCCCAAAACAGTGTCATTTTGGTGAGGCTATAAAAACCAAATTTCAGCTTTCTACTTCAAATTTCCTTTGCCCCTTTTTTCTTTCTTTTTTTTTTTTCTCTTCCTCTTTCTCTAACCCAAATGAACTCTGGTTGAATACTTCACCAAATTTTAGAAATCTCGTCAAAATCTGGATTGGTTCGTTCGAAGTTCGGTGAAAAATTCAATCAACACTAGAATCTTCAGTCAAATTCTAGGAAACCTGCCGAAAAATTTAATCAATGTCAAAAAATTCATCGAAAATTAAAAATTTTTCAAAAATCTGAGAATTTTCTAGATTTTTTTTAAAAAATTTCCTTTTTTTTTACACCAAAAATCTTCAAAAATTATTTTCTTACTGCTTTTTTCTTTTTTTTCTATGTTTTTTATTTTTGTGATTTTTTGTGTTACTTTTCTGTGTTCCTCCTCTAATCCACGGGCATATATTTATAGGGTTTTGAGCCTAAGAACCCTAAATAGAAAAACAATTCTACTTTCTCTTAAATCCAAACTTTAATCTCAAATTTATCACAAATTTGATAACCTAAAGAAACAATCCCAAATCAATCCAACCTCCAAGAATTTTTTTAATTTTTTAATTAAAAAAATAAAACACCCCAGACAGATTATGGTGTCTAGAGTTGCCCCTCTTTGCGCATTTTCTGTGCAACAAAAACTATGCATAGACGTAGACACCCTGTACATGATCATCCCAACATATTCACTTTTTTTTTACCTTTTTTTTGTTTTTGTTTTTTAAATTAGATACTCAAACTAACTGAATGACACAAAATTTCCCCAAGTAGAGGCTCAACGACTTTGAACAAAATAAATATGGCTCCTCTAAATAGAGATTCAACAACTTTGAAAATGAAAAGCTTTTCTAAGTAGAGACTCAATGACTTTAACAAATAAAAGCTCTTCTAAACAGAGGCATAACAGCTTTTGAAAAAATAAAAGGCTCCTTTAAACAGAGGTACAATAACTTTAAAAAAATAAAAGGCTCTTATAAATAGAGGCACAATGACTTTGAAAACTAAAAAGCTCATCTAATCAGAGGCACAATAACTTTAAAAAATAAAAGACTCCTTTAAGTAGAGGCACAACAACTTTGAAAAATAAAAGGCTCCTCTAAACAGAGGCACAACAACTTTGAAAAATAAAAGCTCATCAACAATCATGTCCACAGGAGTCATAGATTAAGTCTAATGAAATTTGTAATGGAAACTTAAAGATTCACAATTTAAGTTCAAAATTCAAAGATTCAGATTTGCAAGAACCTTTCAATTTCATAAGAATTCACTGAAATTTAATTCTCAAAATTTTAGTTTCACAAAAATTTGATTTGTGAAATTTTAGATATGCGAGAATTCACATTTGTGAGATTTCAAGATTCGCATTTGTGAGATTCTCATCCAAAGTTTCAATTCAAGGATTCACATGCAAATTGCAAAGCTCACATCCAACATCTAAAGATTCTCATTCAAATTTTAAAGATTCACATCTAAAAGTTCAAAGCTTCATTTGAGTTTGAAGATTCACATTCGATAAATTTTAAGGTTTCACACCTCAAAGATTCTCATTTGAAACTCAAAACTCAAAGATTCTCATTTGAAAACTCAAAGATTCTTATTTGAAAATTCACAATCCTGTCTTAAAAGACTTTATCCAAAAATTCAAAATTTCTTTTTTAGATGACTTTCAAACTTTTACCAAAGTCAAAATTTTGTATGTAATGAATGTTATGATCAATGATACAAATTTTTTCTTATTGATGCAAATGCAACAATCTAGATTCTTATAATGCCCTATTTTAAGTTATAATTCCAATGTTTACTAGCTTATGCATGTCCAAACAAAGTTTTAATTCATCGAATTATGTGCATGTACCATTCAAACAACAATGCTAACATAATGCATGGAATGTGGATGTCAATAATGTCATGAAATCCTAAATAATTGTGGTAATATGATTTTAGCACTAGCCATCTCAGAATAAATTTTACCTTTTATCACTTGATCATCGCTCATAAGCTTCTCAGCACAAACCATTTCAAAATAAATTTCGTCCTTCATCACTTGGTCACCACTTATAGGTTTCTCAACATTAGTCATTTCAGAATAAATTTTACCCACTTATCCATATTATTTTCATCATTCAATCATAACTTACAAGTTATGTCGATTGATTTATCCCCATATCCATCACTTGGTTATATCACTTTTTTAAATTTTGCCTTCTTTTCATTTTGTTGAACAATACATCATCATATTCATCATTTGGTCACACCATGTATCTTCTCAAATCATCTTTTATAGGTTTCTACCATCTTTTTATTTTTTTACCCCCTATCATCCTGAATTTTTTTCAAAATAATGCAATAATCTTTTAAGCACATATTCATTCATCATTATCATTTCAAATCATGACAAATACAATGTAATCACACATTCTCTCCATTTGCTCTGTGAATAAGAAAATATAAGGTGAATTGAGAGAAAGATAATTAATGAAGAGTGAGTCTAGTACAAAATAAATAAGCAAAGAAACAAATTCAAAGCATGTCATTAGGAATGGTATTAAACAAATGAAATAACAATATCCAAACAATGAATACCTAAACAATTCTTAGCATTAATCTAGAATCAATTTTTAAAAACTCATTCCATTGATTTCTAAGATCAATCTTGAACTTTGCCTCAATTTTGAAGAATCTTCAAACGTCTTTGACCATTTCTTCATGTGAATTGTTTATCTAATTCTCAACTAAGATATTTTTTACCCAAATTACCCTTTCAGGTTTTCAATTTGAGTCTTCCTTTTCTCTTTTTTTCCTCTTTTTTTCATTCTTATATTTTTTTTATTTTTTTCTTTATTTATTTATTTATTTATTTATTTTTATCTTTCATCCATTAGTGATATCTCTCACCCATCAATCTTTAGAGCAATGTAGCTTGATTCTATTATTCCATCATGAGTATGCCTTAGTTCAACACATGATCATTCAGTTCGAGCATTTACATTTAATCCAAATGAACTTTTAAAGGTTATAATATAGGCTATAGTAAAGGGTCATAAAAGAAACAAATAAAGTAGGCTCAAAGCATATGTTTTAAAGGGTTCAGAACCAAATGATCATTTTTTATCATCTGATGCAGCTTGGTATCTTGCCCCACTTTACATTATTTTACTACTTTTTCTTCTTCCATTCATTTCATTCCTTACAAAAAGATTCTCATTATTTTACCCCAAATCATGTGTGGCATTTTTTTTTCTTTTTTTTCTTTACTTTTTTTTAGATCTTTAATGATCTTTTACCTCTTTTTCTTTCCCAAAAGTTATCCCACAATGTGGAGGGTGATCCTTGGTCGGGGTTCTTTAGAAAAAAAATTCATAATAGGCTCAAAAATGTAGTAATGAATGGTTTTTCTAATGGTAAAAAAAAATGACTATTTTTTATCTCAAATGTGAATGCTGTCTTTGAAAATCATCATTTGAACAAAAACAAGTTCATGGATCTTTATAAAAGACTACATATCTTCAAGACATATTTATTTCACATCTACTAACAGCTCACTTCTTTTGCTTAAACAATCTCTTCAGATCAATGTGAATGAGTTTTCAAAATTAAATTTCAAAATTATTGTTATCATTGTCTAAATATTCACCATCTAAAATTTAAGAATAAAAATGAAAAGTTATGAAAGGTAACAAAGCATGAAACACTAGTTGAATGAAAGAGAAAATGTAATGAAATGCATTATCCTTGTCTTTTATTAAAATGATAACAAATGAAATCCTATTGCATAAAAAAAATTATAACATTACTTTAAAAGAAAACCTAGAATGACAAGTAACATTTAACTAGCCTTAACATATTTTTTCTTTCCAAGATTATGCCCCACGCAATCAAGTAAAAGATTTTTATAGAGATTTTGCCCTCTTGATTTGTTACAACTCTCCAAGTCTTTTTAAATCACACTCGTTCTTGATCTTCACTTGAAACATTGATATTGTGATTGGACAATAGATTGCTGCTAACATTAGGCGTTGTTATCCCTCTGTATTAAAATTTATCATCCCATCCTTAATCAATTGTTGCACCTTATGCTTTAAAACAGTGTAATTCTCTATGGAATGAGCGACAATCCCATAGTGATAGTCATAGTGGGCTGTAAGATCATACCACTTGTGATAGGATGGCTGGAGTGGCTCCAAATTGCTAAGGGCAATCAAGTGGTTGTTATAAAGCTCTTGATATAATTTCATACAAGTCATAGGGATTGGATCAAATACGAGTTTTTCTCGAATAGTTTGTTGCTCTCGTGAATCACTTGTTGGGTTAGCAGAATGAATCTAGGGTCTTGTGAGAGGTTGAATATTAAGGCTATATATGGGAACTTAAGGGCTAAAAACAGGTTGGTATGTTGATGGATAAAATGGCAATGAGGTTGGTCGATATGGGTAGGATGAAGTATTGTTCACAACTGACAGTATAGGGAATAACCTTGGGGTGGATAAGGTTGATATCCCCTAAACTGTCTATCAAAACTCATGGCTTAAACTTCAATCTCTTTTTTCTTTGGCCCTTTCTCGGTTTCCCCTCCTTTCAACTTGTCATTTTTAATGGCATTCTCAATGATTTCGTCTGAGATCATCATGTCAGTGAAATTTTTTATGGCATTCCCTATCATCTTTTCATAATAGGAATATTTTGAAGTGCTAACAAATAACACCATGATTTTTTTTTTAGTTAAAAGAAGTTGTACCTGAGTAGCCATGTCCCTCTACCTTTGGGCATACTCTTTAAAGGATTTAGTTACCTTTTTTTTCATATTTTGCAAAGACAAGTGATTAGAGGCTAAGTCTACAACATGTCGATACTGACAATGAAATCATGGATCATATCACTCTATGAATG